ACAGTCCCGTGAGGAAAGGACCAGCCATCCAAAAGGCAGCAAAGTGACGTCAACCAGGAGTGTCCAAGCAGGGCTTACTCTGTGCTGAGATCAGAGTTCAGTTCCCTCACAGCCCATCTTTTGTTTCAAACGTGTAGCACAGTGAACAGAGACCGTGTGTCTGTGCTTCTTGGAGGTGACACGCAGGGGCTGGAACCCAGGACTTTTTGTGAGCGAGGCAAGCCTCCACTGAGCTACCCCTCCAGATCTGTGTGTTCCCCGTGACATAGAAACAAGTCTGAGACAGTGGATAAAGAATTTCACATGGTCAAACACCAGCCAGGAAGACTTCCTAGCGGGCTGGGCTATGTGATTACTTGTCCTGGTGTAGCACATGCTGCTTCATATGGAATATGTGTAAGAGCAGGGAAATTATTTACAGGCTTCTGACATTTTATCCACATACAAAGAGAGAGTAAAGACTCCTAATATGCTTGAATCCAAAGCAGGCGGTGAAATTGTAGAAAACTAAAATTTGAGACCTCTTTATGTACGTTTATCTGATGAACTCTCTCTCCAGCCCTGTCTTCCATTCTTTCGCCTTGTCTGAAACAGGATCGAATGTCCACCGCTGCGTATGCCAGGGTAGCTGGCCTCTGAGCTTCTGAGAATTTGTCTCCGCCCATAGGCTCTTACTACCACATGTAACTTTATGTAGGTTCAGAGATCTAAACTCAGATCTTTACACTTGTGAAGCAGTCACTGACTGTACCCACTGGGCCCAGCCCTGGATTGCATCTTAGTGCATCTTAGTGAGACAGGGCCTTGCTAGGTAGTTCAGACTCAGGCTGGCCTCAAACTCACAATTCTCCTGCCTCTACCTCTTGAGTGGTAGGATTAGCAGGCGAATGCTAACATGCCCAGAAGGAGAATGCTTCCGTACAGTTATGCATATCCTTCTTGTTGAAGGTCAGGCTCACTTTGTGGTCAGTGCTTGACTTTAAGCCAGTTCCTGGCTTTAAGCCCCCTTTGAGAATGAGTGAGCTTTTGATTCTATGATGCCTTTGGTCTGTCCTCACTCTTGTCATCTACTTAGTTCAGTGGAGCCTGACACCATACAAGGAGGCAGTTTACCCAGGCTGCCACTTGGCATGGCAATCGGGTCAAGTGTTACCCCGATGGGCACTCACAGTCGCAGCGGGGCTGGGGCTGAGAGTTCGGGCAGCGGGGGCGGGTATTTCTGTACATTGTGCTTTCATAAGGCTTTCCATAAGAACGTATTCATGTCCACAAGCAGGCCAGAGTGCAGCCCCAGGCCAGCAGACGTCATACGGCTCCTGATGACTCAGCTCCTGTCCTGCTCCACTGACACAGCTGTTTCAGTGTCGTTATGAATGAGCCTCTTTTTTGCAGAAGAGAGCTGTCCCAGGGTTTTGGCCCAGTCATGGAACTGACCTTAGGCTGCTTTGCTCTGAAATCCCTCCCACACTGTGGTGATTGGGTGATGGTAGGGTTAGATTCTGGAATTTCTTTGATTCAAATGCATACTTACTGGTTTTCAGAAGTCACCAAAGCGCTCCTTTCATAAGAAAGCTGTGGACCTTGCCATTCCCCATAATGCCTATCCTCCACCTAGTTCCCAAGTCAGTGGGTTTCAGGGTGCCTTCAAGGGGCTTTCCCACGAGGAGTGACCTCACTGGGTTTTTAGTCCTGGGTCTTACCCTTTTAATCAAGAATTCCAATTGATGCCTCTTTGTCTTCTGTAATGCAATATCAGAGGCAGCTGACCTTGGTCTTATCACCTGCTCTTTATGTCCTGGAGATGATCCCTCCTCCCTGTCATTACAGGTAAAGTGTGTCTGGGAAAGGGGTCTCTCCACTTGATCTTTATAGACCAAGGTACATCCTTCTGAAAAAATTTAAAAAGTACTATACAGAGAAATATCTGGATACAATTAAAGATAAGCTGCCCCCAATGACATAAATACAATATAAAATTATCTTCAGTCATTTTCAGACCCTTCTTTTATGATTCAACTAAATAGTTAAAAACATTTAGTGCATTTTAATTTCCTGGGGGTGGGTGTGAGTGTCAGGACAGCTTGTGGGAGTCAGGTCTCCCCTACCACGTGGGTTCCTGGGATTGAACTTGGCTTGTCAGGCTTTTCAGCAAACACCCTTCACCCAAAAGCTAGTTTTTAAAACATGAATATATACACATGGTGGCTTTGGAGGCCAGGAAGCAGTGTCAGAGTCCTTGGAACTGGAGTTATAGAGAATTGTTAGCTGTCTGGCCTGCCCCTGACCTCTCTCTCCGTAGTCCATGGACATCCAACCTTTTGGCTTCTCCGGATCGACTGATCGAGGAAGAATTGTCTTGGGCCACACATCCAGAAGTATCCAACCAGAGGCCAGAAAATGCGTTATCTTTTCCTCTGCATTTCACAGCTTTTCCTTGTTTTGTGTTCTGGGAAAGCAGCTGAACCAAGTCAACCTCAATCTGAACTTAGTTGATTTGGTTCTGCCTTTTATTGGGTGTCAACAGGCCACCCTGGGCTTTGGTCTGGTCAGTGTCCCAACCCCCCTACACTTTGTCCCTTGTCTCCTCCAGCTGGATTACCTGTTGTAGTTGTGGTTCTTTTGCATGGAGGCAGCAGCCATGTTTTTGAAAGCTGCTAGCCCTGTCTAGTTGCCATGGTGATGCTTTCTTAGCAAGGCAGTCCCTCTGGTCTTGCAGGCCCCATGGAGATTACCTGTGGCATTTTGCCAGTGGCTCTTTGCCATCTCCTTAGACCTCACAACTGTCTAACTTGAGCCCTAGGAGATCTGACACCGTCTCCTGGCCTTCAGGGGAACCATGCAGTCACATGGTGCAATGCTTGCACGCAGAGCAAACACACAGACATATAGACTAAGCACGAGTGGGTGCTTCTCGCCTTGTGCCCTTAGCACCGTTCTTTAGGTAGCACAAACCCCTCTGAAAGCACACTGCTACAGTCTCTATCCACTGGGAATCCCACCTCCTCCCTTTCTTAAGGGACTCCCGGAAGAGGTGGGAATATTCATTTATTCATCAGCACACTGTGCTGGGAGTGTCTCTGGGTGCCATGGACAGGTCTCCTGAGGTTAAGAAAGGAACAGTTGTGGATGTTTTGCAAGAAGAGTTGATAGCAGCGCGATAAAATCATAGCTTTATCTTCATCACAAGTCTCCACCTTTTCATAGTTGCCTAGGATTTAATCACAAACGTCTGTCTGTTTCCTGTACCAACGTCAAAAGCAGCTCAGCTGGGCTTGTGGGCAGACAAAACAAGCCCACACTGATTTCGCTTCATCACTGTGAAGCACCTTAGCTGCAAAGTTGTTTGAAGAAAAGTTTTCAACTGGGTGACTGCACAGACGGCCCTTAGCAGGAGTCTGAAGCCGGACTGGCCCACAGGAACCTTGCTGCTCTGTTTCACAGCAGTTGGCTGCTTCATCTGGAGGTTTTGCAGCCTCAGCATCCGGCAAGCCACCAGGGTTTCTTAGCAGTGTTCTTGGGGTTTCTTTGCCATCAGGGCCTTGGCCAAAGAACAGACCTACAGGGATGTACCATTTTCAGACATTCAACCAATTCTGTAGACACAGACCTGTCTTCCACCTCCTGTCAGTGGGATGGTGAAAATGTCTTCAGTGTCTCTGGAGACCTCATGTCCACTTCCTCAGTTGCATGAAGCATAAATTAACCGCTTCCGTGCCTGCAGGTGCTGCATTTTGATGCAAAGTGAAGTCCTCCCCTCTAAATGCCTATTTAATTTGCTGCTTGCTTGCAGCAGTGAGGTAAAAATGTCTTTCTTGCTAGGCTCCTCCTGCCTCCTCATTAGGAGAGACATCTGTGTGCTGGAATTTTCAAAGCATGTTCAACAGTTATTGCTCGTTTGTTAATCCGGCGTTAGCAGGGTTGAAGCCCATAAAGATGGTTGCCAGTGCTTCCGGAAGCAGATGGGGCATCAGGTGCGAGATGGTTATAATTCCAGCCTCCCTCAGATGGGGCCTGCCTTCCATGCATGTTCATCCTGTGGCTCTCAGGTTGCAAGAGTTTGTATACGTTTATGTGACGTCTGTACACAACACTGTCATCTACAAAGATCCCTGTGCCGGTTAGTGTTTGTCATCTTGACACAAACTAAAGTCCCCTCGGAAGAAGGAACATTAATTGAAGAATTGCCTCCATTGGATTTACCTGTGGGCAGGCCTGCAGGGCATTTTCTTGATTGATGATTGATGTGGAAGGGCCGAGCCCATGGTGGGTGGTGCCAGTCCCTGGGTAGGCGCTCTTGCATTGTATAAGAAGTCAGTTGGGAGCAGGCCAGTCAGCAGCATTCCTCAGTGGTCTCTGCTTCAATCCCTGCCCTGACTTCTTGCCCTGTCTTCCCGTGGTGATGGACAGTAGCATGTACCCCAAACAGACCTTTCTTCCTCCAGGTTGCTTTTGGTCAGTGTTTTATCTCAGCAACAGAGAGCAAACTAGGACAGCGTGTTTGAGCATTCTACAGATTATAAAACAGTCTCTTAGTCTGTTTACAATTTCATGCTAGGCCTCTGGTTGAATACTTCTGAATGTAGGCCCAAGACAATTCTTCTTCTTCCTCGTTCAGTCCATCCAGAGAAGCCAAAAGGTTGGATGTCCATGGACTACGGAGAGAGAGGTCAGGGGCAGGCCAGGCAGCTAACAATTCTCTATAACTCCAGTTCCAAGGACTCTGACACTGCCTCATGGTTTCCAAAGACACCAGGTAAGTACGCAGTACACAGACATGGATGCAGGCAAAGCACACATACAAAAATAATACTAGTGTTTAATAAATATTTTTAAAGGTGTTATAATTCAGAAGATGGCTCACACGTGTAATCCCAGCACCTGAGAAGCCGAGGCATGGGTGGTGCTGGCTCTGAGGCTGGGCTACATACTGAGCTATATAAGTCACTCTCAGCTGGAGAGCAAGGCCAGCTCTCAAATAGATAATTCTGTTTGCATTTCAGAAACGTGAAAATCAAAACTGGAGAATGGTTCTTTGAGGAACGAGCCAGGAAATTTCCAACTACAGGTAAATACTCTTAAAACTCTTAAGTCATGTAAAATGATCATTTCTAGTTTTTAAATATTTGGCGCCGGTTGTGGTGGCACACACCAGTAGAATTTGCTGAAAGGGCCGAAGGCAGGAGGATCATAAGTTTGAGTCTACAGAGTGAGTTCCAGGACAGCCAGGACAATACAGGGAAACCCTGTCTTGAAAAACCTAAAATAAAATATTTGGTTTTTTGGTTGAAAGGAGGAAAAACACACACACACACACACACACACACACACACACACACACACACACACACAAACACAAACAAACAACCCTCATGGTCTTGGAATTGTCAAAACAGGAAACTTCAGGGTTTTAGTGACAGATCTGGCTGTCATTTGTGCATCGGGAAGTAGAGCCTCTGGTGTACACAGTCAAATGAGAGCACCTTAAGCAGTCACCCCTAAGTAGAGAGTGGGGGTTCGAGAGGCGGGACAAATTCAGTGGCTAGGACCAGGTTACTGATAAGGACTTCGTATGCAACTCAGACCAAGTAGATCCTCCTGTTTTCAAACGTCTGCTTGGGATCCCTCTTCTTCCTTAGGGATGCTTATTTAGCACAGGTGACTCCATTTTGGTTTGCTCTGGTCTCAGACCACAGCAGTGGTCTTCCGGGACTTCAGCTGTGACCCTGACACCTACCTGGTGCTCCCCATCCACCTGTCTGCCCTTTCCTGCTCCAGAACTGAGCCCATTGGTTGCCTTCACCTGAGGCTTCTCCGTGTCTGCCCCTCTCTCACCCTCTGGAAGGCACTCTCTCTAAGTGTGTTTTGCCAGGCTCTCCGTGCTTCTGGAGCCCTGCCGCCTCTTTCTACAGTAGAATTTGAGCTTTTGCAGTCATTTAAACAATTTTTTTTGAAATCTTGTTTATCCAGTATTTTGTTCATGATCCTTAATTTAAAAAATAAATTGGCCTAGATCCAGGCTCAGTTGAGAGCCACCTCCAGAACTCACCTCAATAAAAGGGTTGGGGGGTGCTGGGCATGGTGGTCCAAGCTCATAATCGTTGTGGAGGCAGAGACTTAGGGCTTGCGGGGCAGCCAGCTTCCCCTGGGTAAGCATGCAGCCAATGAGAGAAGCTGCATCACATAAACAATTCAGAGAGCACCCCCCCCCCACCTGCTGTATGCATCGGTGAATAACCGGCCTCGGCCTCTCGCTCAAACAAGACCCAGGTGAGCAGCACTTCCAGCAGAGGTGATTCTTTCACCTCCACAGGAACCCCACAGCATGTGTGTGCTGCCCTCCCCCCCATGGACGCATTCACACACAAAAGGTAGGTAAGTAAACTTAAAAGGTCCCTGGCTGGAGCTGTCACAGTGTAGAGAGCGAGATTCATGAGAATGGGACCGGAGTACTGGGGTGGGGACTCCTCACTCTTCTCTCGATCACTCACACCAAAGGCAATTTAAGATGAAGGCATTTAGCCAGGGGGCTGAGGCAGCTTTAATCTCGGCGCTCAGGAGTCAGAGGCAGATGAATCTCTGAGTTAGAGGCTCTAGAGAGTGAGTTCCAGGACAGCCAGGGCTACATAGAGATATCCTGCCTGGCGGGGGGGGGGGGGGGCGGGGGGGGGGGGGGGGGGGAGGGAGGAAGAAAGAGGTTTATTATAGCTTATGGTTCCAGGTGGAGAAGTCCCTCATGGCTGGGAGGTGTGGCATGGTGGCGGGGAAGTAAGCGGGCTGATCACACTGTATCCACACACACAGGAAGCAGAGAGTACAAACAGGAAGTGGGACCAGGCTCTAAACCCTCAAATCCACATCCTCCAGCAAGGCCCCACCTCCTTAAGATTCCAAACCCTCCACCAACTGGGAGCCAAGTATTCAAACACTTGAGCCTACAGGGACGTTTCTCCTTCAAACCACCACAGATGTTGTCTGAAATGTATAGGTGACTATATACCAAATATAGAGCCTACAATTTGGTCAGCCCTTTCCCTACTGCCAGTGACTGTACCGGTTCACTGTGGTGAGCATCTTGTACTGGGATCTTGGCAGTTCTGTGTAATTCCCTTGGATACATTTCTTAGGAGGCCAGCTGGCTGACTGGAGGCAGGAACACTTATTTTTTGCCAAAGCACCTTCTAGGAAGGCCGTCTCATTCAGCATGCTTGACAGCGTGGGCCAGCTGCCTTCTCCCCATACTGTGGTCCTCTCTGAAGTATGATCTCAGATTCTACGTGCGCTTTGGTTTTGACTCTAAGTACTATGTATTCATTTAAAAATTGGAAAGCGAGACTGGCTGGCTGGAGATGAGGCTTGGTAAAACACTTTGCCTGGTATTTGTGGGACCCCGTGTTCAATCTCCCCATCAAAAGGGGGGCATTAAAGGAGAAGGGGGAAGGGAGGAGAGCAGGAAGAGGAGGAAAATGGAGAGTAGTAATGTTAAAAGCAGTCACACCCAGAGAACAGTTGCTAATACTGTGTTACACATTACTTCTGCTCTGTATGTGTGTGTGTGTGCGCGCGCGCATGCCCACGGGCATACGTGTGCTCTCATGGGCATATATTCACATTTAAAAAACTAGAGACTAGTGAGATGGCTTTTGGGTGAAGGGTACTTTCTGCCAAGCCTAACACCCTGAGTTCAGTCCCAGGAACCCTCATGGTATGGGAGACCTGACTCACACAAGTTGTCCTCTGACACCCACTAAATTAAAATGTTCTAAAATCTTTAACTATTTAGTTGAATCATCAGAGACTTGGGTTTAAAAATTAACTGGAGACAACTCGATATTGTTATGTAATTGGGAGCAGCTTATCTTTAATTTTATCCCAATATTTCTCTGTATAGTACTTCATAAAGAATGTTTTCCGGATACTTAAACATCATGATTTCTGATGACCACATCTCATTCGTCCTCAGAATGTCCATCATTTGTTTAACCAAGTTATGATTGTGGGTTGTGGGCAGGACAGGGCTATTTGATGATGAGGTAAATCCACGAGTGCCCACCTTGGGCTTTTTCTTTTTAGCACTGGAAACCTTGAGCCAAGTTTAATGATTAGTTGCAATTCCAGGGATCATTATGCCCTCAGCACTAGTTTCCTTTTTATATGCTTTACTTTTCTCCCTTAATGGTTCTATTAGCTACGTGCCATTTAAGATAAGTGTTACCAAACTTCCCTTGAAAGTAGACTAGATAGGAATAATATTCAATAAAGAGTAATAGAGATGGATAGCTGGAACGTCTCCTGCGCCAATCTCGAAGCCTTTAAAATGGCGTAAGGGCTGGTGAGACCGGGGTGGGGAAGAGCATTTGCTGCTCATCTACAAGGTTGTGCGTTCACGTCTTCAGAAATGGCAGGAAGCTAGTGTGACTGTGTTTGTACTGGTGCCCCAGGACTGTGTTGGGACGGCTGGGACTTCCTGGCTGGCAGTTCTCTCTAGGTTCGGTGAGAGAACCTGTCTGGAGAAACAAGGTGGAGATCAACAAGCCAGTGCCACGCGTGTGTACACTACATTTATACACACATAATAAATGAAGATCCAAGGATAAGCAAAATAATATAAATAAATTTTTTTAAAGCTCATATTACAGAGGCAAATTGGTGAATTAAAAAAAAATAAAAAAGTAAAAATGAGCTCCACTTCCTCATTCTGTACAGAAACAGTATAAAGCATTGGGTTATTTTTTTTTTTTCTGATGATATAGTACATTTTTTTCCTAAGACTTTTAAATTAGTTTTGTGATTTTTTTTTTTTTTACAAAAAATTAATTTACTTATTTTATGTGTGTGCCTGGGTGTGTACCATGTATATTCAGTGACCATGGAGGCCAGAAAAGGGCGTTGGAGCCTCTGGAACTGGAGATACTTGATGTGGGTGCAGGGATCTGAACCCAGGTTCTCTGCCAAGGCAGCAAGTGTTCTTATCCACTGAGCCATCTCTCACCCCCTATTCTGAAACATTGCTGTTGAGGTTTATCTGAGCCACAGAGTGTCTGTCCGAAGGGTCTTTAGGAAGCTTCCCTGGCTGTCCTGACAGTGTTCCCCCAGATCTGCTGTCACAGTATTTGGTGGTGTGTGCAGAAAGTTTTTAACGTGGTTTCTGGGACTGAGGCTTCACACCAGCTGAGAGTATTTCAGGTTTGTATCTCCTAGCTTCACATACTGAAGTTCAGTTCAGTGAAACAGTTGGGGGTATGTTAGATGGAGTCAGTGCGACCTGGACAAGGTTGTGATGGGCAGGTCCCCAGGGACTTTATGAGCTCTGTGAGTTGGAGAACCACCCGTCCTTGGCTGTGTTAATTATGATGGACATTTTCTTAGGTCACGCCACATCTGAAACTGGAAATCCACCTTTGCTCTTGGCTCCACCTTCTGGCTGGTGGCCGTAAGTGCACATCTTGGTGCCAACAGTGGCTTTTGGTTTCATTCTACAAGCATGACACTTTTAGGCCTTAAGAGTCATGAGTCTGGCTGGGCATGGTGGCACACAGCTTAACCAAGGATACACAGGGAAATCATGTCTTGAAAAACAAAACAAAAAAATAATCATGAGTTTGTCAAGTGTCTGTGTAATGTTCACAAACCCTGGATTCCATCCCCTACACCATCAAAAGGAGGCACAGTCGTGCAAGCTTGTAACCCCAGTATTTGGGCATTGGAAGCAGAAGGATCAGAAGTTCAAGGTCATCTTCAGATACAGAGGGAGTCTGAGGCCAACCTGGACTACCTGATCCCTTGACTCGTGTGTATGTGTGTGTGTGGAGTGTCTGTGTGTGGAGTGATGAAAATCAGGCATCTTGTACATCTGCAGTCCAAGCACCCAAGGGGCTTTGGCCGACTCTACAGTGAGACCCTGTCTCAAAGATAAAAAAAAAAAAAAGGTAAGACTGCAACATCAGCTTTGACGTTAAAGTAAACACCTTCTCAGACTTGCTCTGTTGTTAATAACTGGAGATAAAATGGTTTGGGGAGGTCGGCCCTCTACACACCCTCAGCTTACTGTCCTCAGGACTCATTGCA